TTCACGAAGCCATTTAGCGATTTCAATTCTATTTTGATTTATAGTTCAGCATTACTTGAGCATTTTATAATTTGCATGGCTGAATGTCTTCCTCTTAATGAATGAGTATTTTAAGTGAATCCATGTAATCGTCAACTCCAGAGGATTAAGTTAAAGGGGTCATATGATGCTTTTTTAAAGATCATTATTTTGTGTATTTGGTGTAACAGAATATGTTGACATGCTTTAATGTTCAAAAAACACATTATTTTTCAAATACTGTACATTATTGTAGGTCCTCTATGCCCCGCCTCTCTCAAACGCTTCGTTTTCTACAAAGTCCCTCCTTCCGACAAGCGCAGTTTGCTCTGATTGGCCAGCTGACCCAGTGCATTGTGATTGGCCGAACACCGCAAGCACTCGTCGGAAATGTAACGTCCCTTACCATAATCGCGAGCTTCATCTTTCAAAATAAATGTAAAGACAGAGCCCGAAAGGGGAACAGAGTCGCGTGACAGACACAGTGATGAAGCTGGTATGTGTGCAGTACACAAGCCATGGTTAAGACAGCTGACTCCACTGTGATGTGACCCCCTCTCTCTCTCTCTCTCTCTCGCGCTCTCTCGCTTTCTCGCTCTCTCGCTCGCTGCGCACACACACACACGATGCGCAAAACTCCGCATTTGAACAGTCAATAGCAAATACTTAAACTAATCAATTTAATATTTCAACTTTCCACATCCACCCCAACCTGTTTACCTTAAGGAGTTAGAAGTGCAGTGACTGCTGTACTGTCCTCGCTTAAAGAAATCAGTCAGACGGCGGGAGTGGAAGGGGGATCGAGCGGGATTTTGTGTTGCAGTCTCTTTTTAATGATAGGCCTTATGCATTTGTCAATCATTTCTGCTTGCTATTTGGGGAATGAACTCTTCTTTTGCTGTTGCTTGATTCGAGTACTGCGTGTGTAGAGGCGTCACCAAGTTTTTGCGTAGTTTAGAGTGACAAATCTACCAGAGTACTTTGAGGTCAAAATGCGTACAGGTTGACAGGTCTGCAATGGCGGTAGAATGTTAATTTTTCTGTGATCTATTGCTTTAGTCTCTCTCTTACCTTCAGTGGGATGTCATGGCCATAGTTGGAGCGGAAGTTTGAAGCCTCTTCTCTGGACACTTCTGAGAGAGATCGTGCATCTGCTAGAAGACCAGCCACAGCCTAGAAGACATACAGTCAGGGATTCATATGCATGTAAAGATTTACACTACCATTCCAAAGTTTGGGGAAAGTAAATGAATACTTTTATTCAGCAAGGATGCATTAAATTGATCAAAAGTGACAGTAAAGACATTTTTAATGTTACACAATATTTCCATTTCAAATAAATGCTGTCCTTTATGTTCATCAAATAATGTAATGTATAAGACATGTTTCTTGAGCACCAAATCAGCATTTTAAATGATTTCTGAATGATCATGTGACACTGAATTTTCAGCAGCCCTTACTCTAGGCTTCAGCTTTGCCACTACAGTAATAAATTACATTACAAAGAAAAGTTATTTTAAATTCTAATACTATTTCACTATTACAAAAAAAATCATCAAATAAATGCAGCATTTGTGAGCATAAGAGAGTAAGTTACCAACGATATATGACTGAATATCTGCTTAAACAACATTGTCAATATTCCTACCATTCCAACATGCCGATCGATATTGAAGATGCGTTTATTGGAGCCCTCCTCATACAACTTGGACAGAACCAGCTTCTCTACACCAAACACGACTCCATCTTTGCAGCGGATGCCAATTGCTGTGCTAATGAACAACAAAAAACAATTATTATTAACTTAATATGTACTTCTAGTTTCATCAGACAACAAACACAAAACACATTCAAAAACATATTGTAGGTGTTATTAAAATGAAGGTAAAGCCTTTCTCAAAGCAGCACATTAAAATGTAGATGTTTCTGGCTTCAATTATTTCACATGTAGTAGTATTTAATTAATTACCTGCTATTTTCAACAGCCTTCATGGCATATTCGACCTGAAATACCCTTCCATCAGGTGAGAAGGTGGAGGCGGATAAATCATACTGGAGAGGGAGAAGAGAAATGCTGTCAGCAATTATTACTTGTGTTCATTTCATATAAATAAACCATTCGAGCATTTTTTAATCACTGCAAAAATAATAAACACAGCTGGGCATCAATGACAAGGCTGAAGAAACTCAAAAGTGCAGAGCAGCTTTCGTACTGCACAACACGTTTACTTTCACTTTACCTCCACAGTGACTTTTCATTTGAACTGCTATCATTGTTAGCGAGCAGTGACTCAGCAGAGGCAAAATAGTGCAAAACTACACAATTAACCCAAGTAAACTTAAAAAATATATATTTAAACTAATTTAGTATGAAAACTCTTTATGAACTTTAATTAGGTTGGCACAGAATAAAACACTAACGCAGATCCTGCACACTAGCAGTAGCTTATTAGCTTCAGAATGACACAGACATACACGCATTCCTTATTTATTCGCTCTTTCAGGATCAGATCTCAGTCACACACTATGATAAATGTTGTATTATTAAATCCACTCACCCCGGTCCCAATAGAGCTCATTGTAATTGGCGGTGATCAACTATAAACGTGAGGAAGTGCTCAGCAGCCGCAGACTCTCCAGCGTATCGGCTCTCCCTCGGTTGTGGCTAGAAGGGATACAGCTCCGACCGGAAACTGAACAATTAAATTAATTTTCTACCTTTTAGATCGTGTTTTATTAACGTCTACACCTACCCCAACCCTAAACCTACCCCTTACAATAATGAAAAAATAGTCATTATTGTTGTACAGTGTGACAAAAATTACGCTATATTGATGTGCGCATGCCCAGTAGCGCCATGCGTATCCCTTCTAGCCTTAACCATAGACTTAATAAATACCTAGACTCCTCATTGGCCGCTTTGAGCCGTTGCTGCGATACGTCAACGCGTCCGCCATGTTAGACTGCCTTAAAAATAAATGGAGGTAAACGGAGGAGCTGCGGTTTTTTGTGGATAAAAACACGATAACGGTTACATTTATCAACCGATTTCAGCCTGTTTGCAATTGGCTAAAAGGGAAAAAAAAAATATATATATATGATAAGTCCACAGATTTATGATAAGCTATGATATAAACTACAATATAAAGTTAAAACTTAAGAATTCATTTAAACTTTGATTTCATATAAAGTCGCAGCTTTCACAGCTTACTAGCGATATCGCTAGCTATTAATAGTCTGACACTGGTGGCTAATTAAGCTGTTAACATAAAGCTAAAAATGACCAAAAACATACAGAAACAACTGTTCAGTCTTACCTGTGAAAGATAATACGCCGAGATCTGTTTTTATTATTGTGCGACGGTTTGTAGATGCCCAAGCTGCCGACGAGTCAGTTTCGCCTGTCCTGATATGAGAGTTGCCCGCACCAATATGGCGGCGACGTTGACGTGCGGTCGAGCGGCCAATGAGTAGTCTAGGTATTTATTATGTCTATGGCCTTAACCCTCGCCCTCTGCCGCCTGCGACCAACGAGCTGTGATTGGACACCATATCGACCAATCAGATTCTCTCGAGCGTCAAGAGGGTCAGTCTTTCACAATAAAAATTGGATACTAAAAAATAAAAGTTAGCGTCTTTATCGTATGTTTACATTGGAAGATTTCTATCTATCTATCTATCTATTCAATCATTCATTTTAAAACCCTAAAACTTTTCAGGTTGAAATGAAAAAGATTTTCAGATTTTCACAGGGAGACTTTTTGACCCGCATTGTATTTCTAAATATTCTGAAATATTTTACTAAACAGTAATAAACATTCATGAACCAAACCAAAGGCGTTGAATTGACCTCAACTGTTCGAAAATATCCTAATTAAAATAATCAAAAGTCAATAAAATAATCAGAAATACACAACAGTGTACCATAAATGGAATGTATTATTTTATTACATACAAATTCATTCAAAAAGGAGTCCTTTCCCTTCAGAACAGCTGTTGCTGCCAGACCACACATGGCCAAGACAAAAGAAGGAAAGAGAAAAAGGCATATCATAACAACACTCAAATACTCTTACCACCGTTCTGTAATTAACAATTCCAGTGCTACAATTGCTTCATACGCCCTTATTATCAATCACCCAACTCCCTCTTGTATTATTACGGTATGACTAAACAAAACTAGTGAAACTATTTTTCACACTAAAGATTCTTCAAATCGACAGGACCATCAGTTGGTCAGTATGCTACAGGCTCAGATCTCATCCAGAATCACACCGGCTGCTCTCTGTCACAGCTAAATTGGTTCGAACTCAATTGTTGTGGATCTTAGACATCCAGACTACTGTAATCCCTGAGACATATTTCATATACCAGATGGCGAGCGTCTAAAAGCACTCACTCGGATATCTTTCATAGGGTGGGAAATCCATCTCCTGTCCGATATCGGGTTACACTAGCATGGACAAGCATCTCTAATGTACCCATCATGTAAATAAATGCAGGTATACAATATAATCATGATGGACATCAGTTTTATAGGCACAGGAGGTAGGTAATAATTTGCACTCAGGGTGACTAACGGAAGATGTGACTGAAAGGAAGTCAGGGCCCAGATTTGCTTAGATGTTTCTGAATCGGTGAAAAGAGGCACCCACAACTATGATTACAACAGATATGACGTTTCTGAGAGGTAAAAATCACCATTGCCGAAGTTCTTTAAATCTTCCTCCTGAAAATACATACACGCAGATAGTTTTTGCACGTAAAGAAATAAGTGGTTTTGGCTTCCTATTACATCCTTTCCAAAGAATAGTTCCTCATTCGAACTCAAACATAACTAAAGTACTAAGGTGAATCTCATGAAAGCATGGCTAGGTCACATAAAAAAATAATAATACAATTTAAAAAAGAAATAAAAATTCAATCATGAAAATAAATAAAAACTAAATAAAATAACAAATAAACAATACAATAAATTAACAAAATAAAATCAAATAAATTGAATATTATAATGGTAATGGCAAAGAAATAACACACCTCTCCTTCATTACTTCTTTTTTAGCATGTTATTTACATGTCAGTTAAGCACATTGTCCTTTTTTAAAACTGAATTTTATTTGTAATTCCAATTATTTTTAATTGAGATCACTATAATATATTTCTTTTGATTTTGGGGAGAAATATGACTGGGACATATTTCTTGATGGTTTCATGAGATACACCCACACAAGCTAAAATTACTATCCTTAAAACATTTCACTTCCCTAGAGTTAAAAATCAAGCCATGTTCCCTTAATTAAAAGTGGCATGTGTTTGAATTCAGTCGTTGTGTTGTAAAATAAGCTAAAGATATAAATAAGACATGAGAAAATGAGAGCGGAAGACAGAATTGTTTCCATGTTTGGGATAATGTGCAACTGCTCAATCACTTGTTAAAGTGGAATATGATGATGCTATGGAATGAGAATAAAGACGTGACTTGAGTAGGCAGAGCATAAAACAAGGAAGCAATAATATTCGACCAATGAGGATAAAGCAATGTTAGGTAAAATATGGACTCCATAACACTTCAGTCATGCTAAATTTGTCTGCATTTCCACTTGACATTAACATAGCGGGCTACTGTGTGCATCAGCATCGATTGATTTCAGTCATAATATAATGGCTCTGGGTGCTCTTCTGCATATTATTTTAAGATTACTGGCCCTTGTTGGAGTAATGCGCATGAAGTGAATGAATACGGAGCCATTTTAAGACATAAAGGTTCTGGATAGCAGTAAAGAAAAACAAACTGAAAACATATGACCTATAGGTGGGATAACTCGGTGAATCTCATAATCAAGTGTCCAGATCATATTTCACACAAAAATCAAAAGGGAAAAATAAAAAATTATATTTTGCATAAGGAAAAAAAATATTGTGGCTATATTGTTGACACGTTTTGTGAGATTCACCCAACGTTATATTAGCTGGACCCAATGTTTGTATTGCACATGATCTGTCTCGATGTTTTTCACACAAAAAAAATTAAATGAAGCAATAAAAGAAAAAGCAAAGACGTCTCATATCTGCAGTACGAGCCCAGCGGCAGAGATGTTGTCTCCTCCTCCAGCAGTCTGGTACACCTCAGTGCACACCAGCACAGGAGCCACGCAAACCTCATAGCCGTCCTCATCCCAGCACGAAACGGGTCGGGATTCCTCAAGTGGAATTCTCTGACTTCCTTCTTGCCTGCTAACAGAGAACGATTCGTCCATGATCAGCCGCGCTTTACTGAGATCGATGTCCGGCGAGCCGCAGACGTGCCGGTTGGCGGTCAGAGATGCTTTGGCTGTGGCCGACATGGTGTTCTTCCACTTGGAGCCACGTTTGACGATGATGGCCTGGAAAGCCAGCGTGTGGACGTGAAGGCGTGTGAGCGGCCGACCCGTGCCGGCCTGCCGGTGGCGCTGGTTTACCAGGCGGTAGAGTTCTCGCATCTGGTCCAGCACTGTAGCTACGCGTGGGTTGGGGTCGGAAAGCACTGTCAAGTTGCTGCCGCGGAAAAGGCTCAGGAGATTGGGCAGCTCTTGCTCGTTCATGCCTAATGAGTCGGTGTGAGGAAGAAGAAACTCTAGGAGATCTGACATCAGACTCTTCTCTACGAAGCTGGCCATCTCGAAATGGACAGCAATCTGCGGAGACGCCGAGGACAACATCTTTGCCAGCTTTCCCAGCAGAGCCTCACGCTCTCCTGGAGGAAGCAAATGGTTATTACAGAATATCACAATCAACACAGAAAAAAAGCCTGATTTTAATATGCAAAATGCTTATTGGAACATTAAAATTGAGGTACACTTAAAAAGAAATTGCGTAGAAAGACAATATTCATTCCAAAATTGCTAGTTTTTCATTGAAGTAAAAAGACAGTAATAGTATTTTTCTGTAAAACGCACTCCAATAATCTGTTTTATTTACAACTTCAAAAAATATATTTTTACACACTGAAAAAGTTTTTATTTTTACTTTTTATTGAAAAAGTTTGAGCAATTTTCACTTAATTTTCTCAATTATTTACAAAGAAATGTCATGTAAAAATGTTATTCTGAAGTAGAAACACTGAAATAGAGTATTTTCTTATAAAATGTACTCCAATCTTTGTTTTATTTACAGTTAAAACATTTTTTACAATGCAGTGTAGTTACACACTTCACTTTTAATACTCGATTAAGCATTTTCACCTTTAGGTCTAAATATTACCTAAATATTTACCTAAAGAGTGCTACGAGTTATTACAGTCAGTCTACTTTCTCAGGGCAGCTGGGAAAACATGCTAATCTCACCATGTGACAGTACAGAGTTAGTTTAGCTCCAAACTGCCACTAATCCACATACGGGCTGAAGTTTATAATAATTAAAATACATAAATAAAAAGTTTCATATTGTTATTTGAAAGTAGAATAAATGTTGATTTGTTGAGCATTATGCAATAATGTTTGTAAATGTTATTAATGAAGGTTAATTTGAAGTGTTAATTAGTACCCTTCATTCACTTACCCTGTTTGAAAGGGAAGTTGTCCATCATCTGTAGCCCTCCTACAACGAGCAGATCTGGTTTGAAGCTGTTCAGCTTCTCCTGAAATTGCTCCATGGAGTCCAGATATGGATTATGATCATCACTATGGACAATATACCTACAGCAATGCAAGAACATTTCAAACACTTACAGAAAGTTTAGATTGAAAGTACAGTAAAGCTGAAAAAAAAAACAGAAATTAAATGTATTTAATGTAATCCCACCTGTTGGCTCTTCGGGAGGTGTACGTCCCCCATGTGGCACCCGTTGGATACTCCAGGATCAGGTGGATGTCTGGTTCATCCACTGTGTTTCCAGCCACTGAGGAGAGACAAAAAAATTAACTGCAATGAAAAATATGGAAGAAAGCTGTAGCAAGCAGAAAAATACTTTAAAATGAAGATTTGTAACTGTTCTTGTTATATGTACAATGTTGAATAGAAAAGGCTTTTTTAGCATAAAGCTGAAGGTAAGAGCATTACAGCACCTGTGATACGCTGTGAGAGGATTTCAGTGAAATCGGTGCTGAAACTGCCCCCTAAAAGCACATCACATCCTTCCAGCGCCATCCTGCTGGCCATGACAGGTGCATTTCCTCCTATTGACCACCTGTTTCCTGGTAACTCTCGAGAAGCCTCTACCAGCTCACTGAAGAGCGTGTCATTCATCACAAACCTCCTATGGAAAAGAACAAAAGTAAATAGTAAAGATGCTCAGATTCTGAAGCAGGTTAAAGATATTCAAAATAAAATAGATGAGAAGGCAAACATTCTATGAAACTGGGATGAAAGCGACAAAAAGACTAGCATGGAACCAACAGCATAAGCTTACGATTGATAAGATAAAGGACCCCTGTATAGGAAATATGTTACATACCTTGGATAAGATTAAAAAGACATTCGAACTTTACTGTAAATCTCTATATTCGCAACAGACACAGGTAAATAATGCACAAATTAAAACCTTTCTAGATTCTCTGGACCTTCCTTCTATTGAACAGAAACAAAAAGATAGCACTGTACATTCATTTTTTTTAAAGATATTTTGCTTTTGCAAGGATGGAAACATTTTAGAACTGTAACATTCTGTAATATTCTAGTGCTTTCTGGAACATTCCAGAACAATGTGGGACTAGTCATAAAAGACAAAAATTATCAAGCGTACACTTCTGAAGTTTTGGATGACTCACTTTTGGTAACTGTTTATGTTATAACAGTTTATGTTAACTGTTGTTGTTAGCTCAGTGTTATGCATCTACCATGTAATTTGTATGCATGATTAATAACAGATTAGCTTGTATAAGTTTTCAACATAGTTTTTTTTTGTTTTCATGAGCACTGTTAATGAGACAAAAAGTTATGTGATTTTCATCTTCAGCATGTCAAACTTCATTACGAAACATTAAAAATAAAAGCTAAATAAAACGTATAAAAATTTGTTTCACAATGTAATGAATAGTTGCTAACAAACTAAAAATCATAAGAACATACATTTGTGTAGAGACTCTAAAATCAACAACAGCCAGTTTCTTAATTATTTGTTCTAGACTGATTTTTTTTTTTTTTTTACACCATAACCATAAGACCTGGAATATGTATAATGCAAATAAGGCCGATTTGTAACAAATAAGAAGTGCAATTATCATTGCATTTTATTATAAATGAACCATTTTATAATGGTTGGACATTTGTTGAATCATTGTTCTAATTAACATAGTTTTACTAGCAGTGCTATCACAGCTGCAACTTGAACATATTTTTGTACAAAACGCATTTCAAAATCTTTCACAGAATTGCCCAGCTTAAAAGTCTCTCTATAGACGAAAAGAATGAAACGAAAAACACCACTATGATTGATGGTTATTATCTAGAGGAGAAATTCACACATCAGTCCAAACATGTGATAACCAGAAGCACTCGTGTCGTTGCTTTGGCAGTAGTAGCTGTAAATTACACTCCGTTCAGACACGGCTCAAACAGCACTATGCAGAGTCTCAACATAACTGCAATATTATCTTGAGAAACCTGCCATTCCACTCTCAAGTGTGAGTTTTCTTGCAGGACGCAGCTGCCATATTGCCAGCACAACAAAACTAAGACGGTCTGACGCATTTCAGCTTAACAATTTAAAGGAATAGTTCACCCAAACATGAAAATTCACAATAATCCACAAGTAATCCACATGACTCCAGTCTAGTGCTGGGCGGTATGACCAAAAATGTATATCACGGTATTTTTCAAAATTATACCGGCCATCAATTCACAAAAAAAACTGCATGTTTGTAAGAAATAAATCTATCATTAAGGCGTTTCAACTTTAAGTCCATAATCCATCATAATGCTTTCTTCAGTGAAAAAGTGCATCCCCTGTTGTCCTCTCACATCAAAATCCACCAATATATGCGTTTAGAAAGGCTTTGAACTCTTTTTGCTTGTAAACAGTTCTCTCCTGATTCAGACGAGACAAATTTTCACTGGAGAAAGCAATATTATGGATAGAGTACTCGTATTTAATCAACGTTTTGAAGTTAAAAACATCTTGATGAATTTGTTCCTTACAAACACTCAGCTTTTTGCTTCACAAGACATTAACTGATGGACTGGAGTTGTGTGGATTACTGTGATGTTTTTAATCAGCTGTTTGAACTCTCATTCTGACGGCACCCATTCACTGCAGAGGATCCACTGGTGAGCAACTGATGTAATCCTACATTTGTCCAAATCTGTTCCGAAGAAACAAACTCATCTGCATCTTGGATGCCCTGAGGGTGAGTAAATTTTCAGCAAATTTTCATTACTCCTTTAAAGAAATTATCAATTTTTAATGTTATTTCATTAATGTGACACTTTGTGGTTGCACAATGTTAGTTGTTCATGGCTAATCTGATGAACTGCATCTGTGGCTACCTGTGTGAACTTGTGGGGAACTTGAGACCAGTTAATTCGTTTTAATTCTAACTGTTCCAACCAATACAAAATGGAAGTTTGCAATCAGATCAACTATGTAAACTTGTAAAACAATTGAATTGACCCTAGGCTTCGAATTCAGTAAATCACAACACCTGTATTGTGCTACATTGCGCAATCTCTACAGTCCTGAGGGCTTTGCGAACATGCTTGAACGGCTCTCACTTACTCTGAAGCAGCTCCGGGGGAGAAAAAGTAAGCGAAACTCTGTGCCAGCTGCTCCGTGTTCTCTATGTAGTCGTGGTGGAGGGGCTGGTCTGCCGGCTTCAAACCCATTTTGTTCAGCAGAGTCACTCCATCGACTATGATATCCACACAGCCGCCAAAACCTGATAAGAGACAATGACACATGTGCAATAATCTAATCTAATATTACAATAATTTAATCCTTGAACCTGACCATCCAACAAAACATGTAAATCACAGGTCATCTGAACAAACTGGATTAGATGCCATGCAGGTACCAATCACGGGTTGAAAATCGATGAAATCACAGATCAGTTTCACTGAGTCAATGCATACAGAACTTCAACTGATTGATTATCAGTCCACACAACAAAGATTCAATCAAGAGTCTAGAAAAGTCAGAACTTTTGCTTGCAGTGACTGTAATGTGTGCAACCAATACTTTAATTGCATTGCATTGGGCTGTGTATGCGACTCATGTTAATGATTGAAGACTTTTGGTAAACAAGGCCTAAACCTTACAAGCACTCAGCACTTGTTACTACTATAGTGTAAACCAACAAAAACAAAGAAAAAAGAATGCAAAACTAACATGCAAAACATCAGCACAGGCTTGATCCTATAGAAGATAACAATCCTCAGAAGCAAAACAAGCCAAATTATTAGATAAAATACTAACAAGCTCAAGAAACATCAGGAACAATAATGCACCAAAATGAACACAACAAACTAGCTATTATTTGTTACAATCCGTGTTATTTCAGTATCATTGGGATACAATTATAATTTCATATTTTAAATATTTTGATTACGTTTTTATTTTTTATATTATGTTTGTATTATAATTTTAGTTCAAGTTTTAGTCATTTTATTTTGTGTTTTTCTCATTTTATGATTTTTTTTTTATATATACACACAATACATATTATTACATTAAATGAGTATAATAATTAATTAAAAATACAACTTTACTACATAAACTAGTTAGTCTTATTTTGAGAATTGCAAAATTGCATCTATAAGCAATACTTAAAACAAAAGATGTAAATCTAACATTTAAAAAATGTATTATTGTATTATTATTACATTTTTTGTTTTTATAAAAATACAAAGAAACTTTATTAGATCAATTAGATATTCTGAACTTTGAGAACTGCAGAATCTATTCCAATCACGCCTGTACATTGCATATCATAATTATTTGTTGCATGCTGTTAAGTACACTTAAAAGTCTGTACCTATAGCCACTCGCGGGCTGGACACGCTGTTCATGCCCACTTTCCGCTCTGCACGCAGCAGTGAAGACAGAACCGCGTCCAGCCTCTCGTCCAGAACCGAACTGTCCGGTGAGTGGAACCAATACGCCACCAACACCACTGCAAGTGACAAAAACGAGCCATATTTGACACCAGAGCGCAGCTCAATGGCCATTGCAGATGTATGAGCCACACACTCCTGCCTCTCTTTCCTCATGAGCGAGTAAGTGCTGATGACCCAGGGGGCGGATGTGTTTTTATATTAGTACACACAGTTAAACTAAATGAAAATGAGAAATGTTTCCTTGGCAACTAGACGAAATAAAATTATTTTATTATATTAAAGCAAAAGTGTTTTTTAATGGTTTTAGTTAACTACCCTGGTTAAATTGAAAAATTATCAGTGTATTATAAATAAGTAATTAAGAGCTTAAAAACAAATCAATACATTTAAGTCATAAAACTAAACATGAATACATATATATATATATATATATATATATATACACACAATACATATTATTACATTAAATGAGTATAATAATTAATTAAAAATACAACTTTACTACATAAACTAGTTAGTCTTATTTTGAGAATTGCAAAATTGCATCTATAAGCAATACTTAAAACAAAAGATGTAAATCTAACATTTAAAAAATGTATTATTGTATTATTATTACATTTTTTGTTTTTATAAAAATACAAAGAAACTTTATTAGATCAATTAGATATTCTGAACTTTGAGAACTGCAGAATCTATTCCAATCACGCCTGTACATTGCATATCATAATTATTTGTTGCATGCTGTTAAGTACACTTAAAAGTCTGTACCTATAGCCACTCGCGGGCTGGACACGCTGTTCATGCCCACTTTCCGCTCTGCACGCAGCAGTGAAGACAGAACCGCGTCCAGCCTCTCGTCCAGAACCGAACTGTCCGGTGAGTGGAACCAATACGCCACCAACACCACTGCAAGTGACAAAAACGAGCCATATTTGACACCAGAGCGCAGCTCAATGGCCATTGCAGATGTATGAGCCACACACTCCTGCCTCTCTTTCCTCATGAGCGAGTAAGTGCTGATGACCCAGGGGGCGGATGTGTTTTTCTGCTATAGAAATATAAGAGGATAGAATGGCGTGAGCTTATCCAAATAAGCACCGCTGAGCAAACGATGAAAGATCTAAATAATAATTCTCTTCTTTTAAATATTCACTCTATGCTGTCACTTCAATACGTATTAAACTCATTATCTTTGTCATTTAGGTATTACATGAATTATTACTATTCAGATAGATCTTAAAGTATCACGTAGACGGGTTGTCACGTGGTACATGTTACTTTTCTCCGCGCTATTAGGATGGACCAATCATAATAGTTGACGATTACCTGATTAGGATTTTTATAATCATGTTATAGAGATTATTGTATTGCACATTTGAATTTGCATGTTAGGTCAAAAATCCGTTGATGTAACAGATTTAAATTAATGTAATTTATATGGTGTAAATAAGGGAAAAAAACGTTCTGAGATTTGCACGGGGTTTAATAGGGGTTTGGGTTTTTTGGGCCGCCTTGCGCCCTCTGGTGGTATAAATGTTGTGTATTTGACACTTTGTCACTTTTTTCCCCACTGGCTCTAGTAGGAAGCGAGTCATTTCCGATCGTTTTGTTTCAAAATAAAAGTTCAACATCTAATTGATTACAGACCACTACGTATAAATATCAAGTATTTAAAGACTTAATAGGACACTGAAGGATTTTTAAATTATACTATTGTTGCATATTTTACAAACAGGCATGAAATGTGACATTTCTTTTCAAAGGCGTTATGCTCGACTTAGCAAACAGTGTAACTACATCTCATTCATGTGGCAGAGCTGTACATAAACAGAGTTAAATAGTTACAGACGGACTTGTTATATTTCTGCATGGATATGCCTATAGGATAGTTTCTGGAATCTTGCTTAGTCCTCTGTTGGCTTCAGTTTATTGCAACAGACAATATGCCTAATATGATAGATAGATAGACAGACAGACAGACAGACAGACAGATAGATAGACAGACAGACAGACAGACAGACAGACAGACAGACAGACAGACAGACAGACAGACAGACAGACAGACAGACAGACAGACAGACAGACAGACAGACAGACAGACAGACAGACAGACAGACAGACAGACAGACAGACAGACAGACAGACAGACAGACAGACAGACAGACAGACAGACAGACAGATAGACTATCTCTGTCTGTCTCTGTCAGACAGAGATAGATAGATAGACAGACAGACAGATAGACAGACAGATAGATAGACAGACATAGATAGACAGACAGATAGATAGACAGACAGACAGACATAGATATAGATAGACAGACAGACAGAGATAGACACAGAGATAGATATAGACAGACAGACAGATATAGACAGACAGACAGACAGACAGACAGACAAACAGATAGATAGATAGATAGATAGATAGATAGATAGATAGATAGATATGCAACTGTAAACCAGTTATTATCTTAAAACTTTATTAGCATTTAAAAACAATGTATTTCCAAGAGAATGCGTGGAATAAGTTACTCATTTAGTCTTTTTCTTCTTATTTGATTAAGGTAAAATAAAAAACATTACAAGTTATAAAAAAAAAAAAAGACGGAAAAAGGTCTATATTACAAAGTGTTATCATTTAAATACTATTATTTGTTACCTGATCAAATACCTTAAACATGAACAAATACAACATCAAAACAAGCTTCAATTAAAGTCACCTTCATTTCCTACAACACATGCCATTAATCATTTTCAAGTACAAAACAGCAATACTTTTAAAGTAATAAAACAATATGTTCTGAATATCTACCATTTCTTTAGCCAACAATAGGTAAAACATATTTGTCATTGCATCATATGTCTGGAAACATAGAGGTCATCTTAACAATACTGACACATGAGATTATCTGCAATTCTAAAAGAAAAAGAAAAAACAATATAGATGCATATTTCATTCAGTCACTAGAGAACAAGTAATCAACCTACTGGTTAAATTGAATGGCTAGGCAAAAGCCTTATAGAATTATAGATAAGAGAAAAAAACTTTCAAACGTGTTATAATTGTTCGCAGTTACAATAATTACACATTTTTCCGTTAAAGCATTAGAAAATCGGTCTATTGTTAACAGTCCATAATGGCATCCTGGAATGCTTTGAAAGCTTTACTATAAAGACAACACTATTATGAAATAATTGTATAATCACAAATTCATATGTAAGATTATGTAGTCCAAAATTCTAGTAGTGTTATTTAATTGCTATAATTTTGAAGCAAACGACACATTTTTACAGGTCTACAAAAATTGGGGTCACATCTAAGGTTATGTTAAAGACGCATACCCTTTTAAAACATAAAATAATTTGCAAAAAGACCAAATATATTATGAAATTCAACTTAAATTAAGTTCAAATCTTTAAGGAGCAGTAAGCTACATGTCAAAATAAAACAAGAAAATAAAATAATACATTCAATTTCTAAGAAATACAGCTGGAAAAAAAGCTCTTAATGCACTCGTAAAATAAATGAAACATAAAATGATGGACTGCTTTCCAGTGGACTGCTAATCCAATGAAGAGATTTTCCAAAAAGCACACAATTATTATGCAACTATGGTTGACATTTCCAGTTATTTAAATTCCTTTTCTTTAAACATACTGTCTGCAAATCTGACCAGATCTTTTATACAAGTCTTTTCTCAAATTTCATTATCTTAGTTTATACGTTTCATGTTCTTTTAACTATAAATATTATTGCAGCAGGACAAATATTCTTCATATAACTGCAAAGTGCTGCAACAATACAGTAGACTTCTTATATTACAGAGCTTTACTGCTACACAAAGATTCACACGAGTCTAATTAAAAATAAAATTCAGAACCCTGAAAGGATTTAACATACAAACATCCCACCCTGAAGTTATACTGAGATTCCTGAATTGAACCGCGTTGTCATACAAACCTGCGGTCAAAGACAAACATAAAATATTAATTTAAAAAACTGTAACACACTCTAAAAAATGCTGGGTTAAATGCAACCCAGTGCTGGGTAAAATAGGGACAAACCCAGCAATTGGGTTGTTTTGACCCAGCGGTTGGGTTACTACCCAGAAGGTTGGGTTAAACATTTAACCCAACCGCTGGGTCAAAACAGCCCAATTGCTGGGTTTGTCCCTATTTTACCCAGCACTGGGTTGTATTTAACCCAGCATTTTTTAGAGTGCAGGTAACCTGTAAAGCTCTGAAAGCTCCCAATATGGAATGTCCTATTAAAATCTGTACAAAAACAAAAGGACATTAGATAAGATGAACGTCTGACTTTGGAAGTTAAAGCTGATGTTCTTTATATGATATCAGTCCATCACAGCTATTATTCAGTAATATCCAGGATGGTACTGTTGACTCCATGGCTTCTGATTCCAGAACTGATGAAGACAAAGATACAAAGAATTAAAGAATGAAGCCTGGATGATTTTTTAGGACCATTAATAGTGTTTGCAAATTTTTAATTTAAAAATGTTTTCATAAATCATATATATATAAATTATAGTATATTTATACATGTTTTTCTGAGGGACTTACCCCTTGTTGCCAGCTCTGGTTGAAAGCTTGTGCTTTGTTCATGCTAAAGTTTCCGTTTTTAAAACCTCGATTGTTTCCTCCTCGGCCTCTGAATTTCTGTGGAAACAGCAGATTTATGATTCCTGGTTAACATTTTGGTTGAATTTAGTTTTAAACCGAATTAAGCAGAATGTAGCACATTCCACAAAAACAAAACACTTCTAGGAATACAGCTGGAAAAAAAAGCTCTTAATGCATTAATAAAATAAACTACACAAAACAATAACCTAAACCCAAAAAAAGCATCAAAGCATCACCCCTGAACTTCTGTGAGAAAAAAAAAAAAATCAGATTTGTGATATCACATTTTAGTTTTTGGTAGAGTTGGTCTCTTTCGATGAATTCAAGTGTAATTGAAATGATTTTGTCTTGGATTTGCCCGATTATACGTGCTTTGATTCATGTGTATATCTTTATGTGAATTAATGTATTTTGTTTTGTTTAAATGTTTTTATGTTTAACTATGTGTGCTGCCTGTCTTAGCCAGGACCCTCCTGTAAAAGAGATTTTATATCTCAAGAGTTTTATCTCCTGGTTAAATAAAGGTTAAATAAATAAATAAAATAAAACTGAGCTAAGTACTAAGCCTCATTTCACTTTAAAATAAAATAGAACAAAACAAAACATTTCTAAGTAAATGAAAAAGCATCATTTTTAAAACCTTGATTATTTCCTCCTAAACCCCTGAACTTCTGTGGAAACAGCAGGTTTATGATTCCTGGTTCACATTTTAGTATTGTTTTTAATATTTGAAAATTTACAGCGACGACTAAAATTTAATTTCCAACTAAAACTGATTTACATCATCTCTCACCTGGTTGAAGTTGCCCCGGTTGCCCCGGTTGGCCCCTCCCCCTCGTCCCATGTTGCCCCTGTTCATGGCTCCTCCCCTGTTACCCATGTTAACCATATTGCCACGTCCAGGTCCCGGCCTGGGGGCACCACTTCTGTTAGGCATCCCTCCGCCACGGTTGAAACTGCCCCGGCTGAAGCCTCCTCGGAAGGCAGGGGGAGGAAGGAAGCCTCTCGGTGGTCTGCTGAACCCACCACGAGGTCCAGGCACTGTCAGAAAATCCGAATCATTTATACATGATTTCCTGCTCAATATTCTGATTCACTCTAAAGTGTGCTGCTTTATGGTGTCTTTAATGTTCCTCTATACAAATAAGTATATAATGAATAAAAATAAATATTTAGTTCATCTGAAACATATCACCCCTAAAGTTGCCTCGGTTTTGAAAGCCTCCTCGTCCTCCCCTCTGACCCTGTCCTCCTCCACCACGGTTGAACAGATTTTTGCCTCCTCGTCCCCAAGTGCCTCCCCTCTTTAGTTGAACACCTCCCTGGTTGGGCTTCTTCTCAGGAGGAAGGGACTTTTTGCTCTCCTCTTTGTACTGTTCAAGAAGTTTGGTAGCTTCTTCCTTCTGCAGCTCGACATAAAGCACTTCACTGAAGCACTGACCTTCCACAGGCAACGTGTATATTCCTGCAAAACATTATAGTGTGGCATTTTGGGAGTTTTGTGAATTGCACACCAGTGTTTATATTGTTAACTAAAATAAAAAGTATAACTAAAAGTTTTAAGCTTGTAAAATAAAATAAAATAAAATACTTCTAGGAATACAGCTGAAAAAAAGCTTCTAGGAATAATGCATTTATAAAATAAACTACACAAAATAATAACCTAAACCCAAAATAATGAAAAGCATATTGGATGAAAAACATGAAATTTAACATTTGCCTTGGCAAGTAATGAAAGATAGTAAGTTTAAATTGAAGTAACTGAAACTGAAATAAAAATACATTTAAGATAAAAATTAAATAAAACAAAATAATAAAATAAAATATTAGATGAAAAATAGATAACATAAAAATTAAAAACAGAAATGTTGCCTTTGCAACTGAAAAAAAAAAAGTTTAAAATACTAAAATTGCTCAAATTCAAACAAAAACAAAGATTACAAAAATAAAATAAATTATATTATTTATTATTATATATATATATATATATATATTATTTTTTCATCTATATTAAACTTATAGAAATAGAAACATTGTCCTGGCTACTAATTGAAATAAAATAAGTTTTGAAGTACTAAAATTAGTCAAACTAAAACTGAAATCAAAATAAAAAAAAAGAAAAAACAAACAAACAACAAACAATAATTACTAAAAAGATACTAAAAGTAACTGAAATAAAAATAAAATCTCTCTCTCTCTCTCTCTCTATATATATATATATATATATATATATATGGCACCTCTAATTTGACAAAATGCTATAAAGCTGCTTTATGAATAGGTGCCATATAGCACCAAAAGAGGTTCCCCTATGATTACGAGCCAAAGAACCACTGCTGGTGCTATATGGCACCTCTTATGGTTCTACATAGCACCATTTGACAAAGGTGCTGTATATCACCTTTAAAGATCGGTGCTATATAGCACCAAAAGAGGTTCCCCTATGCTTACGAGCCAAAGAACCACTTTTAGTGCTATTTAGCACAAGTTTTGTTTGATTAAAAGCCAAAGAACCACTGTTGAACACCATTTTTGAGAAAAAGTGCTATATGGCACCATTTGACAAAGTGCTATATGGCACCTCTTATGGTTCTACATAGCACCATTTGACAAAGTGCTATATGGCACCTCTTACACATCTCAGATCGAGTATGGCTTGAGAAAAGGATTTTACCCTTCATTTTTAGGACTGCATGTTCAGGTACATCTTTGCCATCTGTTTCTGCCTTTTTCTGAGTCCTCTGTATATATTCCTCATCTGTCGGACAGACTACCACAGCTTTACGCTGGAAACCGGCAAACAGGCACATTTTCCTTCTTTGGGCTGGCGCTGATATGTTAGTCTAAATGGAGAGTATTTTGGTAGGATTTTCAGTAGATGGTATAATGATAATGCAATGAACACTTAAAGGGATAGTTCACTCAAAAATGAAAATTCTGTCATTAATTACTCACCCTCATGTCGTTTCAAACC